CAGGAATTAAGACAGTTCATGACTAACAGACAAGGCTTTTGAAATATTTGGCAGGAAAATGAGCACTACTGTCTCAGTCTCCTTTGTGAGCCAGCTTGGATGAAAATAAACCAATTAGCATTATCATACATCCTTCAAGGACAAACTTTACTAATGCAAATTTTGTTCATTTAATATTAACAACATACCTGTAAGCTGAGAGTCACATCTTTCTACCATAAAAGAAACCTTCTAATCTAAGGCACCAGTTGAAAACTCAAAAAGTCTGAATGGAGTTTTTAAAGGCTAGCCTAGCTGAATCTCCACAACTGGGTTTCTCATTTAACCTCTCTGCTGTCCAGGGACAGGGGAAACATTTCAGTATGTCAAATAGTGGGGAAGGCAAGGTAGTGAGAGGCCTTTAAGGGCAAGAAAACTCCTGAAGATCCCTCAAACCTCAGCATATTGGAATATACTAAGCCTATATATTTGTCCCACTCTCTAACTTATCACATATCTCCACTAACTTATCCATATCCCTACAAGAGAAATCTGAGTTGTTTTAAAGAGCAGAATGGTGAGAAAAACACCTTGCAAGAAAGCAAAAAGAGCAATTATTAAATTAATATGTATCGAAGGTCTTTTGTACACGATCTCATTTAAACCTCATAACAGCTCTTTAAATTATGCATAACTATCATGACTTCTCCAATATAGAACCTGAGTTTCTACACGTTTAAGAAAGATACTGAAACTCAAGGCTAAAAGTTAAACAGCTAAGATTCAAACCCAGGGCAGTTAACTTCAAAGTCTACATGTTTTATGTCATGTCACAATATAGCTAAGTCAGAAGCTGTCAGTCAAATCTGTATTGTATGTACAACCATTTCTCTGGTACCTTATTACAGCTTGGGACCAGTCACTTTCTTCTTCAAGTCAACTTCTACATCTGAAAAATGAACTCTTTCACTACACTGCTTACTTTATATATATTACCATCGGGTTATTTATTGAGATTGCTACTTAGATTCTACATGCGTAAAAGAAAGTGTTTTGGTTTCTCCTTATAATCATTTGTCCCTGAATGAGGCAGGGGTGGGGAGGAAAATCACAGGACACCAGTAGCATTTATCAGAAGCAAGCTATTACTCTGTTATTTTAAAAAAGCTTTCCTGTCTACAAAATATAAACACTTCTTTCAGTTCCCAGTTTCATTCCCAAAGCAAAGTCTTGACTATAGAGAAGCAACACATTTTGCAGGAAGAAAGAGCTCCTGTGCTGATAACAGGAAGGATAGGAGGCAATCCCTAATTCCTACTTCCAGTTCGGATGACCACAGAATCGTGGTTTATTTCTTAAAGATACAGCTAAATACACTCATACAGTGAGTGTCCCATACTCACCTGTCAATGAACAAACAGTTCTATGGGAACCAGGATGGCTCAGTGAGAGTAGCAATGTGTACAGACTAGTATACTGGTGACCCTGCCCATATCTACTTAATAGGGCAATCATATGTGCCAGTTAGCTGAGGGCAATTCCAGATTATGTAAATTATTAATAGTGCCCCCTTTAACCCTACAAAGTATTTATAATTATATAATAAATCATATGACCATTATATTATTAAAAATGATAAATCATTTACTTATTATAAATCAAGATAGTGGCCGAGAATAGCATAATAGGTATGAAAAGAAATTAACAAATGCAGAAAACATAACACAAATGCAGGTAATAGTTGCATATTCAAATCTTAAAAACAAATACTATTGCTAATTTTAGGCATTTTTGGCTTTAAAAACAATACAATTTAAAAATATATACACAATCAAACAGATCAGTGCTTTGAGTCAACATATCATAGGGAAGTGAAACAATTAACAAAAAAGAGAGAGCAATGATTGCTCCTGACCCCTGCTCAGGCCACACTTAAGTTCTGCTCACATTAAAGTTGTGGGAATGCTCTATAGACAGACATCCTGTATTGGGTTAATAGAGTCCCCTAAAAGCTCATTTCTAACAAGGACCTCGTAATGTGACCTTATTTAGAAATAAGGTCTTTGAGGGTGTAATTAGTTAAGAGGAGTCACATTTGATTGGGGTAGGTCCTCAACCTAACGATGTCCTTATAAGAAAACAGAGGACACAAAGATACAAGGAAGAAGGCCACATGACAATGGAGGGAGAGACTGAAGTGATGCAGCGACGAGCCAAGGAATGCCAAAGGCTGTCAGGAGCCACCAGAAGCTAGAACATGGCAAAGAAAGATCTTTCCCAATAGCTAGCATAGCCGTGCCAACATCCTGATATCAATTTCTAGCCTCTGAAACTGCCAGAGAATAAATTCATCTTGTTTCAAGTCACCAGGTCTGTGGTAATTTGTTACAGCAGCCCTAGGAAACTAACTAATCATGTTTTCAGATTTCACTACATGCAACTGATCGGTGGGCAATAAACAATGGTCTATGGAGGGCAACGCTTGGACTATGAACCCAAAAGAGGAGAGTTCCACTGCCCATGCAGCAGCCGTACACTGAGCCCAGGAACACAGAAAGGAACTGCTCCAGAGCTGAGCAGCCCTTCCTCCATTGGGTGGAGGGGCATTAACCAACCTCATCCTTCTTCTCCTGAATGCGTCGTCTCTCTGCCTCAATAGCCAGCTTTTCCTGGATTTCCTGAGCAATTTCACAGTCCTGTTGTTCACTAAAAAACAAAAGTCAAAACAACATGAGTAAAGAAAATAAGAAACAATGTACTGACTACTCACTATGAGCCAGTCCACATTTTTATCTCAATCCTCACAACAGTGTTGCAGAGCTTGATGTTGTCACCACTCACAGATGAAGAACTTGAGGCCAAAGTAATGAAATTACCTCCCTAAAGTCACAGAGAAACTAAGTGAAAATTTGATCCGGACACTACAATGGAAAGCCCGATGCTTTTACCATACTACCATATCACCTCACTCCACTGGGACCACCTACAGAGAGACAGGCACGTTTTCTGCAAAGGCATGTTTTCTATAAGATCAATCTCCACAAATACGTAGAGAGTACACAGAAAAACACTGAGAGTGAGGTCACTCAATGTCAACAATACTGTGATCACCTAGGGGGGGTAGTATGACTTTGGTGTTTATAAATTTTTAATTGTATATATTTTTTTTGTTTTGATAATGTTTTTAAAAAGGGAAAATATGTATATTCCCCAGCTTCGATTCCCAGTAGAAACCTCTCTGGCTGATTCTAGCTTATTTAATACTCTGGCCACTGAGACAACTGCTGTTACCATAGTTTTGTTTGTTATGGCATGCGGGCACTTAACAAAGATTTAAACATACTATTTTCTATATGCAGATTCTATGCTCAACACTGAAAATACAAAAATGATTTAGTCTTGCTCCTATGCTCAGAAGCTGCTAATACTCTTTTGGTTGGAGAAACAGATTCTTTAAAACAGCACCCATAAAACAGTTCTAACAGAAAATTGAGTTTGGATCTCTCAGAAACGGCTACAAGTCTTCTGGCTCCGGGTTTCAAGAAAAATCAATGGGCAGCTTAAAACTCCAGAACAGGATAGATCTGGGGAGCCAACTTTTACACAGTATTAGCTCAGAAAGATGAACATACATGCTTAGAGTGTACTATCTAAAAAAATGCTGAAATAATTACAATAGTGACTTATGTAAGTACTTTGTTTGCTAAACAAATATATCTTCTTAGTTCTCCCTCAGCCAGTTGACCTTAAAATACTCGAGGAATCTTCAGTGTTGGCTGTATAATATGGTTTTTAATTGAGTTTATAGGAGTGACATTGATTAATAAGATTATATAGGTTTCAGGTATACAATTCTATAATACGTCACCTATCTATTATATTGTGTGTCCACCACCGCAAGTCAAGTCTCCTTCCAGCACCATTTACCCCCCCAAATCCTCTTTTACCTCCCACCCCCACTGTACAATCTGTTTAATGGCAGTCTTTTGTAATTGAAAAGTGCTATGGGGATAGAGGAGAGTGGCAATATCCTAACTTTTCTATACAAAACTGAGGGATAAAATAATTAAAATTATTCTCATTTGCACAAGGGAACAGTCACTCTCAACACATTTAGAAATAGGTAGATGTAGGTGAAAATAGATGTGTGCACACATAGGAGTGATTAGGCACACATGACAGAAAGTGAGAATACAAGATAGAGAGCACAGATCAGAGATGCAAGTCTTTCTCAGAATCAGGGGGAAAAGCACTGAACAAAATGTCTTCAGACCAGATTTTTGGTCCTCCCAGTGACATATGCCCGCTCATGTCACCTAATCAGCTATAAAAGATTTTGGATTTAGTGACTTCATATTTCTGGCCTTATATTCTAGGATTTGTAATCTTCCAAACCAAAAAACTGAAAATAAGCAAAAAATCTACTTAGAATAATGTTTACTTATACTTAGAGCCTCCTTTCATTCACTCACTTCTAGTAATTAAGTATCATACACAAAATCATAGTTTTCAAAGACTGTGCTACCTGGATCTTCCAAATTAACATAAAATCTGATTAGGAGTAAGCAACTATGACCTACACATAAGGTGATAACAGATGGGAAGAAAGCAGGACACAGTAGAGAAGGCAAATCCAAATGAAGTGCTAAAGGTCACAAGGGTCATAGAAGATGAATGTCCTAGTATAGAAAAGAAAGAAATGAAGTTTAATTTGAGCTTCATGATTTTAAATCAGTTCTACTTTACTTAGCTAATTATATAGACTCCTGAGGAAGCAAAATCCAGTGAGAAAAGAGTAGTCAACACATAAACTGATGAACAAAAACAGATCCAGAGACAGAGAAGCATCGATCAGATGCTCAAACCTCAGAAGGAAGGTAGGGGAAGTTGGGGGGAAGGGGGAGAGATCAACCAAAGGACTTGTATGCATGCATATAAGCATAACCAATGGACACAGACACCAGGGGGGTTAGGGCATGAGCGGGGGGTGCGGGGGCAATGGGGGTATAAGGACACATATGTAATACCTTAATCAATAAAGAAAGAAAAAAGAGTAGTTAACAATCTTCTCAAGCCTGACTTTGGACAGGAACCCTGGGATCTAGAATGAGTGGAAGGTTCTAATTCCTTCAAATCTAAGTATGTAATCCTCCTCTTGATGTTCAGCAGTCAAGACTGCCAGGATGTGAAAAATCAAAAAACTTCATTTCTAACTTACTTATTTCAGCCAAGAATACCTCTAAACTCCTGAAGTCTCAGGCAGGAATATAATACCCGGTTCTCTTCTCATTTAGGACCTATAACCCATCACTCACCAGATTTGATCTGTATTTTACAGTGGTTTGTCTCGATCATCTCTCAACAACCTCGTTATACTCACTATCACTACCCTCATTCAGGATATTAAACTTCCGCATCAACATAGGAACTGGCTTTCATAACAGAGAATTGTGAATAATTTAAAAGGCAATGATTTATTCTTGAATAGTCTACCTCTGGCTCTCACCTTTACTGGGTTTGTGACACCAAACCTCCATACATCTCAAATCTCTCTCTTCTAACTCCATTAACATTGAGGCTCTATGATATCACTCCCCTCTGCATCTGTATTGCCCACTATCCTCCATTCAAGTCTCACCATCTTTTATTATTTATTTATTTATTTTCTTTTTTTTATCTTTAATTTCTTTATTGGTTAAGGTTTTACATATGTGTCCTTATCCCCCCATTGCCCCACCACCTGCCCCAGTGTCTGTGTCCATTGGTTATGCTTATATGCATGCATACAAGTCCTCTGGTTGATCTCTCCCCTTTCCCCCACCCTCTGTGCCTTCCCTCTGAGGTTTGATGGTCTGATCGATGCTTTTGACCACTGCTGAATAGCTCTCTTCAATCTTGCCACCTCTATTCCTTTACCTTCCCAGTCCCCAGAGTAAGTCTCTAAATGAAAATTCTAAAACTCCAACAGTTAGTTCTCTATTACTTATAAAATCTATGAAACCTAAATTCCTTAACATAACTTATGTGACCTTTGGTCCAGCATTTGAGTACTCTCCGGCCTCATCTCCTACCTAATGGCACCCCTCACTGCAGCAACACTGATCATCTTGCAGCTACCATGCAATCCCAGGTCCTTTTACCTCTTACCTTTATGCATGCTTCCCCCTCTGGCTAGAATGGTTTTCCTCAATTATCAATATAAACTCCTAATTAACCATCAAGGTTCAGATTAAATATATCACCTATGTTGGGACAGTTTTCTCAATCTCTTCTCTCTTCATAAGCATGAAATTGACTGTTCAATTATATGTGCTTCATGCATGTACCTGTACATATAAAGTGTTCAGAATATGTTCCTAAGGCCATTAAAGGCAGTCATTATGTTTCTTCACATCTGTGGTCTCCAGTGCCTTTCATGGTGTCAGGGATAGCAAGAGTCAATAAGAATGTTTATTTACAAAAGATGGAAGCTGAACAAAAAAATGATGTTCTGTCTACCAATAATAAAATATAAAGTCAAACCCTTCCTCAAAGGCAGCAAAAATAAAAGGCTCTCTTGTTTATATGAACATGACAACTAAAAAAAACTGAGGGGTCCCTTTGATTCTCCCTTTACCCCTTCTCCTCAAAACAATATCTAATGGTTAAATCCACTCTTAGAGATTTAGGTATTAGAGCTACTCTCAAAGAAGAAATGTACCCTAGGAGTTTTAGGGCATTGAAAATAAAAAGTAATTGTACCGTAAGAGAACTTAAATATGATCTTTTCATATCTAACTGTAAAAGAGGAGACTGAAAAAGAATGTTTGTCAGACACTGAAGCTATGGAGAGAACTGAGTGCACAATTCAGAGCTTTCCAGAAGATTCTTCCTGGATTTGAAAAGTAAGGGGTTTGAGGAAAATAAGAGCAGCAAACCCTGATAGGACATAGTAAAGGAACCCAATACAAGTCATGAAGCTCTATCATATACAGTGTTTCACTGGATCCCCCAGACAACCGACCTGTGAGGCAGAGATCATCTTTTCCCATCTCGTACAGAAGGAAAATAGGTGGACCACATTTCTCAAAGTCATACAGTGAAAATGCTAAGAGTTCATTCACACCAGAATGCACACATCCCTAAACCAAGTCAATGTTCCAAAAACAAAGTTTTCAAATTAAAGAAAAGGATACACACACACACACACACACACACACACACGTGCACACACGCGTGCACTCACACACACACACACACACACGCAATTTTTTAAATCTAACAGTGACAGGAATGAGAGGAACAGAAGGAGAGTTTCCTCCTCCCCTGCCCTGGTTGCTGGCTCCACAGAGGAAACCAGTAAACGAGTCCTGGCATGATTCCCTCCACTCCCCAGAATCCTCACAGGTCTTTGTAGCGCTTCTGAAGCTGAGCCTGAGCTTTCAGATCTTCCTCTTGGAGTTGCTTAGCCACCCGGAGATCATGCTGGACCAAACGGTTCCGCTGAATGTTTGATGCCAAATGATGCTCAACTGGACAGAAAGATGGAGGGGAGGAATTACAATGCTTTGGCTTGTTAACAATAAACTTCCTAATAAACTTAAAAAAAGCTTTTCCATTAAAGAGCTTCATACCCATCACTTTATTGTATGCTCTCAGTAATGCCGGTTAATAGGCAGCACAGGAGTTATTATTCCCATCTTTCCATTAAGTAAAAAGAGGGTCAGAAAGGTTAAGTCACTTGCCTTTGGTCACATGGCAAAACAGTGGCAGTGTCAGGACTTCTACACAAATATTCGAAAGCCAGGGCCAGTGCTCTCTCTGCTCCACAAGCTATCACTCTACTTATAAACTACATTTTTCAATACTTACTTTTATATTGCCACACCAATTAATGATTCACAAATTACGTATTCATAAATATGTACTTTTGCACAACACATACAGCTTCGATTTATTTTTCATAGTTATATACTTAAATATTCAGAAAAATCCACAGTCTAGATACCTTCATTGCCTGGAAAAAGACCTTTGCCTTTATTCCTAGGGGAAGAAATAGCTCCCTAAGCCAGACTTCTACACACCCCAAATCCAGGTGTGGACAAAAAAGGGGCCACATACTAAACCTGATAAGCTCAGGGAGGGCCTGCGTGGTGGATGTAACTACAAAGGATGGTCTGCAACTGAACTCACGTTCTTAACTAAAAGTGAGTGATGACTGCTAGTCATGTCCTAGGCCAGTATCTTCCCTGACAAAGGTCAATCTTTACTTTAAGCCTGTCTATTGACTTTTTGCATCTAAGATAACATACATTTGAAATGTCAGAGTAACTCCCCTTTACCAGAGCAGAAGACCACAAAACCCCTTGTTATCTTATTCCCCTGCATACCATCTCTATGTGCTGCAAAGTTAATTAGTAACTATCCTGTACCCATCAATGTAAAAGAAATATGTGTGTCTCCATTTTACTCTTTATCTGATCACAGAGGTTTCCTTGATTTGCTTTCTCCTGCCTCCCTAAACTATCATCAATAGATTTCATGTAACCCTCCCTATGCTTCCTCCTTTGGCTATAATGTATAAAATAAACTGCAAAACAGCCATTTTCTGGAGCATTTTTTTTCAATCTGTTGAGATTTTGCTTTTGGGCAATTGTCAGTTTGGCTCAAATAAACTCATAAAACTTCTCTTCAGATCTGGACGTTTCTCACGTTGACACATGTATAACCAGTCCCTCTTACAACACACTAAGGTTTTGAGCCCCTCTTTTCCTCCAATGTACCCACAGTCATCAAACACCTGGCAGCTGTCATACTTCAAAATACCCAGAACGTCATCCTTCACCCAGGTGTCCTGGGCCTAGACAAATAGCTCGGAGGGATGGATGGTGCAGCCTGCAGCCTGGTGACTTTGTTCTCTCCCTGACTCACTCTAAGACACCTGCCTCAAGCTACCACTATAAAAAGAAAACTGAAGGAGCAGGGATGAGGGTTATTACTCACTCTCCTGTTCCTGCAGGCTGTGGGCCAGGGTGTGGTCCTCCAGGACAGCGAAATCTCGACACACTGCAGAGGATGAGAGAGAAAGGCAGATAGGAAAGCTCATTAGTAATATTGCAACATAAAAAGAAAAGCATGTTCTTTACTTCAAAAGTCAATTCTCATATTTAAGATGATCAACTTTATAACTTGCACTGCACAAAATAGTGACTAGTTAGCATAGTCTTCTTTCACACAAAAAAACCCCACATAAGTACCTGCTCAGTGACAAGCACAGGGTATCACAAAATAATGGTTAGCTCTGGTCCCTGGCCTAAAGATATTAACCACAGAATCAGAACCCCGATGTCAGGAAATTCCAATAGACAAGAATGTTTTGCATATTGCAGCTGACAGAAAACTGAGTTGTCACGTGGTCAGAGGAGCTAAATAAACCTTGGCCAATGCTTCAGCCACCTGGGGTCCAGAGGATCCTCTCCCATAGACTTATGTCTATCCTGGTGTCATTAGGAAAAACATACCTTCATCAGTCCCTCTGGTAGCAGCAGATCTCTACTTTAAGGATAATCACATTCTTTAATAGGTCCACACCCTTAGACATGAGTTAGAACTAGTTCTCTAGATCTCTCTAAAGGTAATTGTCTAAAAAGAATCTGCAAACCAAAAGAAAATGGGAACCTCAGAGTATACCAGAATCCTGCCCCTAACTTTGGAGATCCAGGCAAAGCATTTGCTGACCTATTTTCTTAGAAGCAAATGAGAAGAGAGAGTCTCCAAGGTCCATTCTACCCCAAATTGCAATTTGAACTCCTGCTTCTTAAAGCAAACATACAGGCAGGACTCATGAAAAGTGATGTTCTGTTTGTTTGTTTTAAGGGTGTGTAGTTTAGGTGATATGTCTTTACTCTATTCCAAATGTGTAACTGACATTAAAAAAGAAAATTCCCCAAAGCCTCAGACTACTGTAATGTGTAGGACTTATGAAAATGTCCCCTAGGGCTTACCAGAGGTTATAGATGTCTTTCTACAGCTTTGGATTTGCCTATAAGGACATTTAACTGAAATGAAGAAACACTCCTTTGTCATGCTTAGCACTATGTATGTGTACTACATACATTCATACAGCCCTGGCCCTTACTGCAACAAAAAAGTAGGCAGAGCTTAGAGAAGTCAAAGTTAGTCTCAAATGGTTTTATGATGGAGGAATCATTTTTCCCCAAAACCATATTAAATTGAATATTACCTTAGCTTACCCCTTGCTCAAATGCAACTGCAAAACCAGTAATTCCAATAGGAAGTCCCGATTATATATATTCTCACCAAACTTGAACTTGAGGCCCAGATGTATTACCCAATACTTCATAGGATGAAAGTGCTTACAAGATAAACTGGTTAACTCTCCCATTTAGTAGGTGGGAAAGATTAGGGCTAGAAGGAAGAAAGAGCTTATTAATGCTATAAAGTGTGTTGGTAATAGGACTGGGAGTACTTTTCTGAGCCAACCAGCATTCTTTCCTTCCCTAACTCATGACACCCTCCTGGACTCCAGGGAAACCATGGTGGGAATAGACTGAAAGAACTTATTCTACACTAACCAACATGAATTCTCTAAAACATTTAGCTCATTAACATTAATTAAATGGCTAGAATATGTATGGATTTAGTTCATAGAAAATGAATATTCAGAATGAATTAGCTAAAGTTACATCTTGTGCAAAAGAATGCTATTTTAATATATGGCCTTATTATTTGAAGCACTTTTATTATACAACAAGGCTTATGTTTATATATTATAGTCAGTATTAATTTTAGATTAACTAAGATTATATTAATTTTAGAATAACATTATTTTTCAAACCATGGGCAGGAACCTATTATTAGGTCAGAAAATCAGTTTACTAAGTCTGGGACAAGCATGTAGAAATGGGTAGGCTAGAAAATAAGAGGATATCACACATCTACAGGAAACTACGGTTTGAAGAAACACTTTCAGTTGTATACACACGTTTATATGAAATGTATTATGCCACAATGTAAAATATACATCACTGAGGATTACACTCAAATAGTTTAAAAGTCACTTCAATTTATGTTGTTGTGGTAGAAAGTTACACCAGAAAAATGTATTTTATATGTTTTTAATGTGTTGACTAAAATTAAAAATTATAAAATTACTGCAGTTTTCCATGGGATAACCATGTGAAGAACTGCAATAACTTTATATTTATTTTACTCAGCATAGCATTAAAAACAATGTTGTGCAGTACGCCTGGGGGGCAGGGGAAGGGGACAGGCGGGAGGGGGTCTGAGGAGGAAGAAAAGGGGGACATATGTAATACTTTGAATAATAAAGATAATTTTTTTTAAAAAAATGATAATGTCATAAAAAACATAAAGTTTACAGATACACACACCTGAGGTAAAAATATGGACTTTTTAATATATGGCACTAACATAAACTGAATTTAGAATAGTGGTTACCTCTAGAGAAAAGCAAAGGAGCAGGAGTGCCTTCGCTAGATAAGGTATTCTACTGCTTTATAAATGAGGAGAGAAGGTTGAAGCAAATAAGGTAAAATAGTAACATCTATTAAATTTAGGCAATAAGTTCCTGGGTTTCTACATTAACTGTCCTTTTTGTAATGTTTTATGTTTATACCAGAGGCCCGGTGCATGAAATTCGTGCATGGGAGGGGTGTCCCTCAGCCCGGCCTGCGCCCTCTTGCAATCCAGGACCCCTTGGGTAGGATCCCTAGGCCTGGTTAGTAATCAGGGCCTATAGGGGCTTTCCTTCTCCCAGCTGCCGGCAGCTGGCCCTGCCCCGCCACTGCCACTGCTTGCCGTCTGTGTGGTGCTGCCCCCACCCCCCCACCACTGGTCGCCTCTCTCTGCGGGTGACAGGCGTGGGGTGCTATAGCTTGGCTGGCCTGGGCCTCCCTCTGCAGGGCGATCATGGGGCCATGGTGGGCCCCCTGACCAATCGCATCGCACCCGCCTTTGCTGGCCTGCCGCCAGTGCGTGTCATAGCGTGGTCGTCTGGATGGTCGTTCTGCTGTTTGGTTGATATTCATATTACGCTTTTATTATTATAGATACATCACATTTTTAATTATATAATTAAATATTATATTTTTTAAATCCACATCTTTTATTTCATCAGCAGCATATATTTAAGATGCTTGACAAATCATCAACAGGTTCAAGGAATTTATATATTACAAATTAACCTTAACAATAACTCTTCTTAATTTCCTAACATTTAAATATTAAGATTAAAGTATATTCAATTACTGTGATTTGACCCTGAATTCTCTTACAACAGCAGCTGAATTGGTATCCACAAAATATGGGCTGGCCTGGGCTAGAAGGCAAGGTAGAAAATATTCAAAAGCTACATGGAAGCATATACACTCACACAGAGAGTGGTATTGTTAGTACAGGGACATGGCACTGCAGAGTAAATAAGAACTTCCAAATATATAATATCATTTATACTGATATTTTATTTGTTCAATCTACAATTTCTTCTGCATGGCTCTAGTTCCTTTCCAGATATAGCTCTGCATTCTCTGCATCACTACTCTAATGTGAGCTGGAAAAGTCACACATTCCCCCACCTCTGTAAAACAGTAACCAGACTGGGAGTTACTGAACACATTTCACAGCCAGGCCAAGTTCAGACCCTGATGTTTGCTTCTTTTCTAATCTACTCTACTTTGAAGTAAACAGTATAAATAGCATAAACTCATCTCTCAACCTAAGATAAACCACTAGGCCCTGGGCTTTCACCCTCCCACTTCCCAAGCTTTCCCTCCTGTGTGCAATTCCACTTACTCCAATCTCAGGCTGATCTTGCAATTAAGGGAACCACATCCAGCCCTCAATGGTCCTGTAGCCTCTTCCTTCCTACCCAAACATTTTCCCCAAAGTTAGAGCATGGTGGGGCTAAGTCTATTTTGCACCATTAAAACCATGTAACTCTGCCTGCTTGTTTAGAAAATCAACACTTTATGATTGATAAAGATGCACACTTTATCATTCAACTCAGCACACAGCTGCCGCCCATCCAGTTGCAAACTCTTCAGGGCAGGGCCCTGTGGGCCTAATTTCTGTACCACAGTTAGGACTGAAGCAGTCGTGACCCTTTGGGGTCGAACGACAATTATGTTCAATTTGTAACAATGAAAATACATCCTGCATATCAGATATTTACATTACGATTCATAATAGTAGCAAAATTACAGTTATGAAGTAGCAACGAAAATAATTTTATGGTTGGGGGTCACCACAACATGAGGAACTGTATTAAAGGGTCGCGGCATTAGGAAGGTTGAGAACCACTGGAATAGAGGATACAGAAACACTTTCAGAGATGCACATTGATTGGAAAAAAGAAAAACTGGTGGTTAAGGTCAAAGAACAGTAAGAGTCCCATAGACAAAGAAAATAAACAATATTGTGAACAGAATTAAGTTCTGCCCTTGCAATGGCATCACAGAGACGAGCAAAAGTTTTCAAACATAATTTAAATAAAAATTAGAAACCTCCTTTATTTCCATTAAAAGACATACAGCTTTAGTGGGCTTTTTAAATCCAAATACGTACATATAAATAGTAATTTAGTTTACATTAAGCCAAGCACGTTTCAGGAATGAAAACTGGGATTTTATATGTAGATAGGTATAGATATATTATCTTTCTACACAGACACACACACACACACACCAGCCATTTTCCTTGAAGAAAAAGATGATTTTGTTCTCTATGGATCCCCCTAAATAAATGGCATAGTGTGCACCTACTAAACACATTTATTCCCCAAGCATTTACAAAGCACTATTTTTGGATGAATAAATCACTTCCAAGACATTAAGGAAGTGGAGATGACAAAAAGACAAATAAGACTATAATTTAATAAATGTTATAAAGACCTATAGAAAACTCTTTAAAGGTATAAACAGTGGAGCAGCTATGCTTTTATGACTTGGAGGTAGGTTAAGGAGTGGGGGTGACTTGGGCAGAGCATATTAGGACACCTGAAAGAGTTAATACGCAAAATGAATCAC